ATATCATAATAAATGACCACACAGTAAAAACACAAATCAACAAGAAGCCACACAAAATAATGCAGATTTCTTTTTTGAGAGATTAAACCTTAAAGCATAGGTAGTTAATGGAACTAGACATCACTCTTCTCCTACAAACCCAGCTACTCCATAAACTTAAGGAGGTCCATGGAACTTTCTAAAACAAGAAAATGTATGTCTCCATGAGGTCTTTGATGTTAATTGAAATCCAACTGAAACAACATAAGGGAAAACCATGTAGTCCCAAGAGAAAACAATAAAAACAAAACATTTCAATGTCCACGATAATTAAGATGTAAGTTGAACTCTGGAATATTACACAGAGAAATGGTTATGAAACATTTGAAGATGGCAGCTCTTGACACAGACATCTTGGTGTACCATGGGAAAACAGCTAGATGTGTACACTGAGACAGTCTCTATTACAATTTTTGAAAGGAAGTTCTTCACTTGTTGTAAAGCAAATGCACTACACTATCACATGGGAGGAAAATGTGTCTTCTTTCTATACATACAAAAATAAATAGGTAAAACAATTGTGAAATCAGAAATAGTATGTTTTCTGTTTGCCACAGTGATTTTAAGGATGATCAAAGACCCTGATTTTGAACTTCACATTTTTTAAAGTAACTCCAGTATCAGTGATAGCAGTAATATTCTGAGATATCTGGTCCTTTGATGCAACGAAGTAATAGACTTTACAGATCTATTTCAATGATGCTATATTAGTAAATTATTTGAAGTCAATAAATGTATCTGGGAAAGGAACTATGGAAAGGCAAGTTACAGGATGCCAGCTCAAATTCACTGGACTTGACAGTCCAAGGAAAATTTGACTTAACTATATTCACACTGTTAAAACAGTATATAGTAACTTCACTGTTAAATTTTTATGATGTAATAAGTGTATTCCAAAAGAGTTCGCACAGTATCTCTCAATTCTTCCTTCCTGATAAATCCCAGAAGCAGATAAAGGGAAATCACTGTCATTTGTAGAAACCAATAAAAAATGTAGAATCAAATAAGTGATGAAAGTGATATGAAGGGAAGGGAGACTCTTGAGTTAAAGAATGTGACATAGAAAATGCGGGACTTCGGGAGACATGATAAGGCAACATTTAGAGTACAGGAATAGAAATGTATAGGTGTCCAGTCACTCATACAAGTAATTAGCACTGTAATGTGCCAGCAACCATGCAAGGTATTAGGGGACAAGGAGTCATGCTGATTTCAATTAATTAAAAAGTTGGCAAGAAAGAGAATTTCAAATTAGTGAGTATATTCATTGGCCTTCTATCTTATAGAACAAAAAGCTATTCTTAGTCACATATGGAATTTAAAGGGATTCAACATCAAGCAATCTTCACTCTACGCATCCATTCCTTCATCTGACCATTTAGTACTGAGTATATCTATGAGCCACACACTCCATGGAGTGCTGACGATATACAAAGTTATGGCAAAGTTACTTTCCTTTTCATTTTAGTATCCAGGTCACTGGAAAGGTGTCATATTATTTAATGCAGTTGTCTAGAGCATGACAGAATCCGCAAATCAAAAGAATATCTCAGGGACAGAAAAACAGCTCAGCAAATAAAAGTGCAGTAGATGCTCTTCTAAAGGACCACACAATGGCTCAAAACTGTAACTCCAATCTCAAAGATCCAATGTCCCATCTGGTCTCTGAGGGCACCAAGCTGTCATGAGATGCACGTGCACACAGACAAAACATCTGTAAACATAGGATAGAAATAACTTTAGGAGAATATTTCAAAATATTTGCTGTTTCTGCTTGCAAATTGATTCCTTCCAACAAAAACTAAAAGCAGTCACCTTTGAGTCTCTGCTTTGGGGAAGTTTCCTTCCCGCTCTCATGGAGGCAGAGTCAGAACTAGGGATGCTTTCTTTTTCTGGCCCTCACAGATGTCTTGGTCCTAGAGAAAAGTTAGAAGTTTTTTTAAAAGTTAAAACATCACTTAAAGCCAAAAAGATGTTCTTGTAATCCTGCTAAGAGCTGGATTGGTCAGAATGTGCATTCAGCATACCTTGAGCAGGCTAACTCACATACACTGTTCCACCAAACCCAATGGACATCAAGAGAGCACTACACAGTCATTCCCTGTTCTCCTTCCTGCCAGCCATGAAGCCAACAGCATTGATTTAAATAGTAAAAAATATCAGTGTCAGTAACTGAATTTTCTCATCAAACACAATTTTCAATGACAGCAAAAAAGAAACTCAACTCTAAGTGATTGATTCTTGAAGGTCATCTGAACCCATTTAGGTTCTAATACAAGCTGCTTCATGTTGAAAATCTATGTTGAACATTATTGAACATATGTCCTTATGATATGACTATGCATCCTTTGGGTATATGCCTAAGAGTGGAATTACTGGATCTTGAGGTATACTGATTCCCATTTTCCCGAGAAACTGCCATACTGATTTCCAAAGTGGCTGTACAAGTTTGTCTTCCCACCAGCAATGGATGAGTGTTCCCTTTCTCCACAATCTCTCAAACATAAACTGTCATTTTTTATTTTAGCCATTCTGACAAGGATAAGAGGTATCTTAGAGATGTTTTCATTTGCATTTCCCTGATGGCTAAGTATGTTGAGCAATTTCATAAGTGCCTTTCGGCCATTTGAGATTCCTCTATTGGGAATTCTCTATTTAGATCTATACAACATTTTTAAATGGATTATTTGATTTTGGTGACTAGTTTCTTGAGTTCTTTGTATATTTTGGAGATCAGGCCCCTATCAGATGTGGGGTCGGTGACAGGTATGGGCTTTGGGAACCCATTCCTTATGGAGAAATACACTTTCAGCCTAGATACATGGAGGGCCTAGGCCCTCCCTGAATGATGTGGCAGACTTTGATGATCCCACATGGGAGGCCTCACCCTCCCTGAGGAGTGGATGGGGTGGATGAGGGGAAGGGGGGAATGGAAGGATGGGAGAGAGGGGGAACTGGGATTGACATGCAATACAAGCTTGTTTCTAATTTAAATAAAAAGTAAAACCAATCTTGTTTTACACACCAATCCCAGTTCCCTATCCCTCCCATCCTTCCAATCCCCCATCCCTCCATGCTACCCCCCCATCCATTCCTCAGGGAGGGTGAGCCTCCCATGGGGAATGAAAAAAGAAAGAAAATCTGTTTTGAACACATTTTAAACAATCTATGAGCATCAACAATGGAAAAGTCCCAAACGTTTGTGATGTGACTTTTAAGTATTTACTCATATAAGCTTCCTACAGAAAATAAATGTGTCTACTCATTTCATTTTCATTAAAGTAATTGACTGATATACTACTACACATATTATTATTACATAAAGAATGAAAATATTATATAGACCGGGAAAAAACACTGAAAGAAACACAACTAAGATCAAAGCAGCAGTAACTCCTAATACTCCTGTTTTACAAAACTGCACCCGCACCCTCCACACTGCCCACATCATCCTCACAGAGAACTTACACCTTCCATATTCACTAAAGCACAGTGTTCGAGAGGACAATTACCACATTCTCAGAAACACTGTCTGCTAACCCCTGGACACACCTCTACTGCTTTAATGGAATGAGTTAAGGTTAAGTCAGGCTTGCAACTATTAACTGCATTGTTCTCTATCACTGCTTAGAGCTTTATTTGATGTTAATTTATCTGTCTTTGCTAAATGGCAAGTAGGTGGACTGCAAACAGAACAGTGGAATGGCCCTGCATGTGCTTGAAGGTTCCTGCCACTCAGCTTAAAAAGGTCACTGATTCAACGCTCTAAGCATTAGAAATAAAGACTTGTTTATGGCTGTAACAGTTCCATGGCTTCCACAGCTAACAACTAGAAGTGACTCATGGAGATAACATATTAGCAAGAAAAACACAATAGATAGTGGTAAAAGGAAAAAAAATGTATTCTGATGGCTAATCAGCTCATATGTAATACATCATTTTGGGGGGTTCAGAGTATATAACATTTTAATCATGTAATTACATAAAGAATGATGTAAATTTTAAAGATCAAATATATAATTTTAAATTTAAATTAGTTTTAGCCATCTTTTACTCCATTTCACCCTAGGGCACATAGATGGACACAAAACAAACCTATCTGCCTAGTCTTCTAATATTTTAGAATAAGTATTCTTAGAAGCTTACAACCAAAAGCTTGGAAAGCCTTAGTCCATTCAAACCAGACAACAGCCCCCTTTATAATTTGTCTACCATAAATGCAGGGCCAGACACATTATCTTCCCTATTCACAGTCCCTTTCCCCTTGACACAAGCCAGTGTGTGGTGAGACGTGAGAGGGGCAAAGCAGAGAGGATGATCAATAGATGTGCAACTGGACCACAAGAAATCTGATCCCCAGTGTCTCAAGCAGCCTAGGAGGGCAAGAAGTTAATGGGGGCAAGATAGCAAATCTACACTATGATTTAATTTGCAAGTTGAAACACTGTGACTATTTTGCCAAGAAGTCTTTTATCACATTTCCTTCTGTAGTAGAAATCCATGACTATCAGTCTTTTATTCAATTTGAATTAAACACACAGACAGGAAAGAGAAGTCAAATCCCCAAAGGCTTCTCATTTGACAAATATTTTAGTGGATTTCATAAAACCAAGTTTTGTTCTGGTTATATCCTTGCTTTGCATGTTAAGAAACAAAGCCACGCTGTAGTTTGAAATGATTACATCAAAGCTGCATCTAAAACCTACATCAACATAACCAAAACCAAGATTCATTCAAATATGTGTACAGGCAACTATAATCACCATTCTATGTGCTAGATAGAGAGACTCAATATAAGAGATGTCTATGCCCTCGGTAAATAATGATATTTATAAAGCAGAAGGCTAAAAATTTTTAAGTATGTAATATGTAATAAAATTTGTAAATATTTATAAATACTGCTGTATTGCATGTCATAAATAATAAAACCCAGAAAAACGGTTTAGTAAAATTCTTCCACAATGCAATTTAAACATGTTTTAGCATCAGCTGATGTTGACAGTGATGGCAATGATGATGCTATGATGTCATCATTCTCCAAAAATCTGAAGGGAACCATGAGGAAACAGGTAGGAGGCTTGAAAATGCTACATAAGGAAAAGCTTCCTGCAAATGATACATCTCTGAGCTAAATTTTCAAAGGTTAATAAGAAACATAATTCAATATGATGCAAAGTGTGTGAAGGGGAGCTCTTCCCTGAGCAGTTCAGAGCCCTTAAGAAGCACTGGACATGTAATATCTGCATTTTCTTGAGTGATAACTCAGGGAGAGTACCACACACAATGAAGATTCTTGTATCTGTACTCCAATTTACTTGTGTCCCCAGATTTTTATTTATGTAATCCTGTGAGAGTTTCTTGGATGATCAATTTATTAACATCAAATCTGGTAATGCAGAGCTTATTTATGCAAGATCCATTTGTCCTGGTATTTTGTATATAAACCAGTCATTTCATACCTGAGCACTATTAATATCTTTGGCTCTTAACTGCAACAAAGACCGTTTAGCTCTACTCATTTAAAGTATAGATGCTACAGTATATTGTTTATTCTCTATCATATGTCAATGTGACAACTGCTAGGTCTTGGAAATACATACAAAATAATAAATGCTGTTGCCAATTTGATAGGTCCCATCCAGGAGAGGAGAAAATGTCAAAACACTACTACTAAAAATACCACAGTGTTTGAATTTTAATCATTGAAATGCAAGATACACTGAAATTGCCCAAGAGTCTTATGTATGGGATGGCTGCTCATGAAAATAGGCCTTCAGAGATGTTCTTATGGGCTGGAGAGATGACCAGCAGGAAAAAGTGCTTGCTGCTCTTTCAGTGAGCTCAAATTTGATTTCAAGCACATGTGTCAAGGTGGACCACAACCAACACAAGCATACAGCATATGCTCACAGATACACAAAAGTATGTACAACGAAAAATAAAAATGAATACTTTTAAATGAAAACAGAAACAGTCTTAAATCTAGAGGGCAAAGGGTAATAGGCCTTTTTTTCCTACTTTTCTTGTAATGAAAATAGATTTTTTAATGAAATATATTTTGATTTCCCCTCCTTAATTCCTCTGAATCCTTTGAGCAAATAAAAAATACATGAATGCAAATTCCAGAGATGTGATAGTTTGGATATTCAAGAAAATTAAGGAAGCTGAAAAGCAATTAGAAAGGAAATAGCTACCAAAATAGTGGACTAGTCATGTCAAGCATTATAGGCCATCAGAAGGCTTCCATCTTTCCCTGAGAGTCATAAGATGACTTTGAAAAATGCAGCAGACATGCATTTTAAAAGGTCATTCTGTTAATATACATTGGACAATTAAAAGCTGTGATGATTAAATTATGTTGTTGTTCCAGGTATTCATGGAAAAAAAACAAGAGTGTAAAACAGGAAAAGTATGGCAAAAGGGCAAGGATAATATGATCAACCGATGGGGTATAAAAGGCTTCATGTAACCATACTATGCATCATAAATAATCAAATTGAAATTTTATAGATGTCCCTCAACTGAAGAGTGGCTAGAGAAAATGTGGTACATTTACACAATGAAGTACTGTTCAGTGGAAAAAAACAATGGAATCTTGAAATTTGCAGGCAAATGGATGGCTCTAGAAGAAACCATCCTGTGTAAGGTAACCCAGTCACAAAAAGACAAACATGGTATGTACTCACTCATGTATGTATTTTAGACATAGAGCATGGGAGTGCCAGCCTACAATCCCACTGGGAGAGTCTGGGAAACAGAACCTTCAACCAATGACTGATGGAATCAGAGGCAGACACCTACAACTAAACACTGAGCTGAACTCAAGGAACCCAATGACAGACAGGGAGGACTGATGAGCATAGGGGTCAAGACTGGGCTTGTTTAACCCACAGAAACAGCTGACCTGAACAAGGGGGAGCTCTTGAACCACAGACTAATGGCTGGCAATCCAGCATGGGACTGATCCAGACCCCCTGAATATGGGTGTCAGTGAGGAGGCCTAGGCAGTCTATGGGCCTTGTGTAATAGATCAGTATTTATCCCTGGCATACAAATGGACTTTGGATCCCCATCCCACAGTGAGAGATTCTCTCTCAGCCTGGACTCTTGGGGAAGGGCCTAGGCTCTGCCCTGGATGAAATGACAGACTATGGATACCTCCCATGGAGGACCTCACCCTCCCTGTCGAAAGGAGTGGGGATTGGGGGAGGGAGGATTGATGGGTTTGTGGGAGGGTTTGGGAGAACGGGAGGGAGAGGGAGCTGGGATTGACATGTGAAGCAACCTTGTTTCTAATTTAAAATTAAAAATTAAAAAAAGACGAAAAATTGTAATGACAATAAAAACACATCATTTTGTATTTTAAATTAAGTAGTCTAGTCATAAGAATAATTCAACTCTTCTATGTATAGAAGGCCATTCTTGATTCCACTGAGAACCGTTTATAATTTTATAAATTGTCATGGAGTAATCACAACAGATTATTAGATGATATTTATAGAACTCACTCTTTAGACCAAAAGAGTAAAAAAGATGAATATATTCAAGATGGCACTAGTCTGGACAGTAACCAGACTATCCCTTCAAGCCTGTGACAGTACCCTTATAGTTATAGTGGATTTCTCTGTGTATAGATTCCAAATAGTCCAGATTAGACAGTGTACAGTTTGTGAACAGTTCTAGGTGACAAGCAGGAGCTGTTGTGCAATCTCTGTCACGTAAATAAGAATCAGGAAAATGGGAATCACTCTACCTGAAGATCCAGCAATTCCACTCTTAGGCATATATGCAAAGGATGCTTATTCATACAACAATGACATGTGTTCAACTATGTTCAAAACAGATTTTCAACATGAAGCAACTTGCATTCGAACATACATCGTCCACTGGAGAAGGAGAAAGGTGCAAGATCTCCTGAGCTAATTGGAATCATGTGGGAGGATAGAGGGAGTTAGGATAAAGAGAAGGGGAGAAGAGGAGGGGAGAGGAGGACATGAGGGAGCAGGAAGATTGAGTCAGGGGGCAGGGGAGGAGGAGAGAGAGACATGTAAAGCAAGATTGTTTCTAATTTATATTTAAAAAAGAGAGGGAAAATGTACAATAATGAGGCAAAGAATTGTGTCAATAAGTGTCTTGTAAAAACAAACAAAAAAAGCCGTCGGGTTCACTAAATTCAGTTCTGGGATCACAGTACAGACTGAAGCTCTGTGCTGTCAGGCTGCATTCTGATGCTTATTGTCTGGGATTCCCAAACTGTGAAAGTTTCCTGATGGGGTACTTGCTCAATTTTCTGGTCTGATCTTTTATTATTATTATCATTATTATTATATTAATTTTAAATAGCTTGCTTCACATGTCAATCCCAGTTCCCTCTCCCTCCCCTCCTCCCGCACTCCTCACCAGCCCCCCCAGCCTCCCACCCTATGGCCACTTCCTTTCACATAGGAGATATCTAGAGTCTGTCATTTCACTCAGGGCAGGGTCCAGGCACTCCCCTAAGAGTCCAGGCTGAGACAGCATCCTTCTTTGTGTTATGGACACACAAAGTCAGTTTGTATGCCAGGGATAAACACTGATCTACTGCCCAGGGCCCCATAGGTTGCCCAGGCCTCCTCACTGACTCTCACACTCAGGAGGTCTGGATCAGTCCCATGCTGGCCTCCCAGCTGTGTAGATATTCTTCAGTGAGTTGGTACAGGAGACCACTTCCTGAACATAGCACCAGTGGCACAGACACTGAGATCGACAATTAACAAATGGGACCTCCTGAAACTAAAAAGCTTCTGTAAGGCAAAAGACACAGTCAACAAGACAAAAATGCAGTCCACGGAATGGGAAAAGATATTCACTAACCCCACATCTGACAGACGGCTAATCTCCAAAATTTACAAAGAACTCAAGAAGCAAGTCTCCAAAACACCAAAGAATCTAATCAAACTAAATAGAGAATTCTCAATAGAGGAGGCTAAAATGGCCAAGAGACACTTAAGAAAGTGCTCAACATCCTTAGCTATCAGGAAAATGCAAATCAAAACAACTTTGAGATACCATTTTACTCCTGTCAGAATGGCTAAAATCAAAAACACCGAAGACAATTTCTAGTCTGATCTTTATTCACAGGACACTCAAGGTCTTACTCTAATCCCACACTTGCTACAAAAGACAAACTATAATATCCCCATGCATAAAGAGTCTCAGATCTAGGAATCAACCAAGAATGTATCAAAAAAGGTCTTTTTAAAATTTTTATAATCGGTATTTTTAAGAAATTATAGTATTGGCATTACAAAAGCTTCCTAGGCAAAAGATATTATACAGATATGATTAAAAACAAGAATGACCAAAAAAGAATGACAAACTTGATTTCATCAAAAGTTAAGTGAATTGTGATACAGAGTAAGCCCTTTCTGTACTAATTTTTTGATGTGTAATAAACAAAAACATGGTAAACTAAATAATAGCATTCTAGAAATTATTTGGAGGAAAAAAAGGAACCATCCTCACAACCAAAAAAAATCACCTGGCTAAAGATTAGCAAGATGTTTGAGCTCACTAGGTAAAGTAAGCAAAAGAAAAAATAAATTGAGGATAGCTTACTATTACTTTCACCAAAATGGAAATATCATACCAGAGATTAATGATGAAATAAACATCAATAAAGTCTTTGTGAGCATGCAAGTTAGTTCAGTTAAAGAGAGAAATCCATATGCAACACATGCACTTCTAGAAATATAATATGCACTTTATGAGTCTAATATGGACAATTATAATTTAGTGAAATTGTAATAAAAAGAAAGAATACACTTGAGAAGTATTGGTGAAGAATATGGATATAAAAGTTAGTTGCAGCTATATTTGTAATATAGGAAAAATTTTGTGACAAAATACCATATATGAGAACATCTGTTCTACTCAAATATGCTTCCCAGCATTCTAGACGCTCAGTGAGTATAAGATTAAGACACCAGCAGATTGAAAATCTGATAAGGGTACCCAGTTCACTGATGGCAGTCTCTTTTTTTTACCTCTATATTACATAATCAAAAGAGCTCCCTCAGGCCTCTTTCATAGGGAGCTAGTTATAAGGAGTCCACCTTCATGACATGGTAACCTTCTGGTGCCATCACATTAAAGGTCAAGATTTTAACATGCAAATTTTGGATAGAAAGAAACACAGATCATGGAAATCATAATACAGGCAAATCAAAGCATGAATAAAAGATAAAGATATGGAAACAGTATATAGTGTTTCCTTTTAAATAACACATCTCTGTATTATTTCATGCTTTAAGGTATATGCATTTCTTCTGGCGTTAATGTAATAATCTACTCTAGCTGGAAAAAATAGTGATAATGTGCATCAATGTCTAAGACTGTTTTTCGTTTGCTTGCTCGCCTCCTTGTTTTTGAAGAGAGGCTGATCTGGGCTGGTAAACTTTGGACACCAGACTGGACTCAAACTTTCAGAGAAGTTCCTGCCTCTTTCTCCAAAGTGCTAGGCTTATACACAGGCACCCCCTTACTGGGAACCCTGTTAGTTTCTATAGAGACCAAATAGTCCTCCTTCACTCTGTGTGGCAGGTAAATTTCTGGTCAATTTTCAAGATCAAATTCAATCATCACAGTATTTCTTGTTGTCCTTTTTGTGTATTTTTGAAACAAAATATATAGAACAAGATAGCTTGAAACTTGGGGTGATTCTCCTGCCTCAGGTCCTATACACTAACTATAGTCTAGAGTTACCGGACTCACCTTCATCACAGTATTTCTTTTTTAATTTACTACTTATTAGCTTGCTGAGAATTTCACACAGGGGCACAGTATATTTTAATCACATTTATCCACAACTCCTTTTGACCCACCCCCAACTTCATGTCCTCTCTTATTTTTTATAACACCATGAGTTCACTTTGTATTATTCATATACTCATTGATATGGATCCAGCCACTAAAGTATGGTAGACCCATCAGGGCCCATATCCTTCAAGATAACTAACCCTTCCTCTCTGCAAAAGTCAATAGCTCCTCAAGTAGAGGTAGTAGTTCATGAGCCCTTCCCTGTTCCATGTTAGAATGTTGACAGTCTTGATCTTGTGCAGACAACCACAGCTGCTTTGAACTCATGAGTGCAGTTCCTATCATATCCAGAAGTCACTGCCTTAGTCTAGATCTTCTCAGCCTCTGGATTTTATAATCTTTCCATCCGCTCTTCAGTAATGGTCTGTGAGCCCTGACATTTATGACATTTATAACTGATCTCTTCACAGACATTGTTCTCTGTGGTTGGACCAGTCGTGAGTTTCTGCATTCACCACAATCCACTACACAAAACAATGTCTCTGACCATCTCTGAGATTGGACTTACTCATTTGGCATAGAAAAATAAATTTAGAAGGTAGTTTGATAATATAATCATTTAGCAGAATGATAGAATGATAATAGTAGGTTT